CTCGCTTCAAGTAGTAAATTTCCTGTCTTAAAGTTAATTTGCATATCATTTTCATAAACAATGGAATTGCTGATTTTGCGAATCGAAACGAAACTGTTTTCATTATTTAACTTTTTGGGGGAAATATCAGTGTCTCTGACAAGTTGGAAAAGAATCCTCCTGGGGTTATACTCCTCTGAAAGTTTCCGCAATCTCTTAGTTTGATCCGAAACGTGCCTATATGCTTTTAATTGTGTTATATCAACAATTTTGTCGTAAAAAGAGTCGAGTTAATTTCCCCCAAAAAGTTGGATTAAAGAACACTTTGTGTGATCTGTTGGGAATTCTTTTCCATTTAATTAGAATTTGCTTGAATAAGAAGAACAAAAGGTGTATAATTTTCAGGTTTTGTTACAGCAGACAATTAATCTAAAACTGATCTCTTTATTTATGAGTTTACATATGTTGTACATCAATCAATACGTACAGTCCGTTAACTAATACAGTGCATCATGTCTAAAATACATTGAATAGAAGTGGCGTGTAAAATATTGGCTCTCGGACAAAAGCCTGGAAATTGATGACTGCTATTTTAGATTGAATCTTGTTCACCTACTTTTACACATTGTGCGAAAAAAATAATGGTCCTTCACGGACAACAAGCCAATTAATAAACACACATTTCCACAATAACTGAAATAAACTATTGATTTTTTACCAAAGTGGCCCACGATTTTTTCGATAGAATTCCTCTATGTATCTATGTTCCCACCGCGTTGTTTAATTTAAATACTTACAATTCTTGTTTTGAATATTCATAAATGTTGAAAATTTTTCGTGTCAAATAATACAAATTGCTGGAATTCTTTTTGATTTTGAATTTATGATTTGTATGTGTGGGTAAAAGTTTAGCGGTATAAAACTGCTTCAGAAAAAGTTGAAAATTAAATAAAACCACTTGTGCAGTATCCCGACACGTGTATAAAGAAGCCTAAAAACGAAATAGCCGCCAGCAGGTTTCTACATCCCTTAGGAGCACTTGAATTCTGGCGAGAATCGATCTCGGGATGCTGCTGACCAGATGCGATTACATTTTTACTCCATGGCGATTGAAGGATTTCAATAATTAAGTCGTAAAAATGCTTAAAATGTGGTTTTCTAGACGTTAAATTACGATGCAACAAGTTAAAATACTCTACGATGCATAGTTTTTGAGATATTGAGTAATAAAGTTAAGAATAAGGCTAAAAGTAAAAG